AACAGATTTTCAAGATCCATTTCAATAAGATTTTAGGTCTGTTTTTGGAATGGGAATTGCCTGTGCAGAGAGAGTGCAATCCTGTTGGTTTTCTTTTTTCTCTCTGGTTTTCCGTAGGATTGGCCATGAGATCCTTCTGAATAGGTTGTCTGAGGTGGGATATAGGGACACAGTACTGCAGTTGTTCTTTTCCTATTTAGATGGCCAATTTCAGAAGATTGTGCTGGGGGAGTATTGCTCTGCCCCCTGACAATTGTGCTATAGGTTTCTGCAGGATTCTGTTTTATCCCCCTTGCCATTTAACATGTATTCAGAGAGGCAATCTGGAGATGTGGACTGAGGTGTCATCAGTTTGTTGATGACAGCCAGCTCTATCTCTCTTTTTCCATCAATTCCAGGTGAGGCAGTGGATGTTCTGAATCAGTGTCTAAGCACAGTAATGGACTGGATGAGAGCCAATAAACTGAGACTCACTCCAGACAAGACAGAGGTGCTGATGGTAGGTGCTTCTTCTGCCCAGCTAAGAGGTTTTCAACCTGTTCTGGAAGGGATTTCTCCCTGACAAAAGGATCAGGTTCAAAATTTGGGGCTTCTTCTAGTTCCATCACTTTCACTGGAAGAGTGGGTCACCTCAGTGGAACATAGCATCTTTTATCAGGGTAGGCTGATAGAACAACCTGACCCTTATTTATTTTTATTTTTAGATACCACCCCATTCATAGATGCTCTGGGTGGTTTACAGCAGAACAAATTAAAGCTAATGACAGTACAAATTTAGGTTAAAAACAGCATTTTAAATACAACTAATCTGGGAAGGTCTGTTGGAAGAGATATGTCTTTAAGTCCATCTTAAGGTATCATAAATCTGGGATATCTAACACATTTCTCCTGGCAGGCCATTCCATACTTATGGGTGGCCACTGAAAAGATCTTTAGGTACTTGACATCAATCTTGCAGAAGCAAATTCTAAAAGATTATCCCCAGAGGACTATAGGGGGCAGAGCAGTTTATATGGGTAAAGACATTCCTGGAGGTATTTTGAACTTGAGCAATGAAAGGTTTTAAAGTAATTATCACCACCTTGAACTGTATCTGGAAACCTATTGGTCTTCAGTGGGGAGACTTTAATGTTTGTTATATATGATCTCTCTCTGATGTCCCAAAGACCAACCTGGCTGCCGTATTTTGTACTAGTTGGAAGTTTCCAGAGTAGACACAAGGATAGCTCTATGTAAATTTCATTGCTGAAGAAGCCGTAGAAGTTACCAGCACATGCACTACCATTCAAAAGTCATTCTCCTCCAGGAAGGGACTATATTTAGATAGAGATAGCTTTCATTTTTTCGCTAAGGTCTGGTAACTCTTGTATGGTTTATTTGAATGTGATGTAGATGGAGCTGCCTTTGAAAATGACCAGCATCTCCAGCCAGTTCAAAACGGAATAGCAAAGTTGACTGAGACTGACTGTTTTGATCATATTCTGCCTGTGGTTTTTCATCTGCACTGACTGCCAGTACATTTCTGGGTCCAGTTCTAAGTGCTGGTTGTAACCTATGACACCCTAAACAGGTTGGGATCACATTCCTTGATCCATATTTATTTGTGGGCATCTAAAGAGGGATTCTTGAGGTATTCCTGCCCAATGTTGGTTGGTGAACAGCTACCAGGAAAAGGGCTTACTGAGTGTTGGTACCACAGCTGTAGAATGTCTTTCCAAAAGTAGCTAACATGAATCCTGTGTTATGGTCCTACTGGTGCCAGGTGAAGAACTTGTTGTTCTCCCAGATGTTTTAAGTGCTTTTAAGGTCATTTTCAGATTGTTTTAAGACTTTTTTAAGATCACTAGTGTTTTAAGTTATGTTGGCATTGTTTTATTGTTTCTGTTTTATGTTTATTTCTGCATAGGATTGAACTTGTAAACTGACCAGAAAACTGTATTGAATGAATGCTGCATAATTTTTAAATAGATTCAGGGGTGGGGGCATCCATTCAGTCACTTTTCAGATGATAATAGGATCAAGTCTGTCTCTCATAATGCATAATTTCCATATAGAGGTTGCTGTACAATGGCTGGAAAGAAATATTCCTGACTGCAAATGTTTGATCTCTTAATATTCTTCTTTGCTCTTTTGGGAGGCGTGTGAAGAAGAGAGAGAAAAGAGCCATTTCCTCTTCTGCTATTTCGTCTGCTGGACATGTGCTGGCAGAAATGCTCACTGACCCCGTAGTTGTTCAGGTGGCTTACACAAGTCCCAGGGAATTACATAGAGGCAAAAGGGGACATTGGTGCTTTTGCACAAGCACAGGAGTGGCTTTTGCAGCTAATTTGGCAGCTAGTGGTAGGTTCTCCCTTTCACTGGATGAAGGAGAAGGCTTCTACTTGGTACACTGCAGCCCACTGAGCTTTTTTGCACACAGATCCAGGAACAGCTACTGCACAGCTTCTACAGAGCATATAAGATTAAAACTTAGTGACTGGGCAGAGCAAGCTTATGGGATGCACCTGCAGCATCCATAGCACTGCCTGCTTGCTGCAGCCAGGTGGGAGATGGGGTAGCTTTTTTTCATGCCCCTTCCCATTGACCCATATAAGAAAAAAACTATGCCAGCCCGGGAGATAGCATAGAATCAGAAGCTTTTACTGTTTGTGTCAGGAAAGCAAGGGATCTTTGGATCCTATGGATGCACAGCTACCCAAAATATGTCCAGTTTCCACACACATACACTCCAGCATTGCAAAGATGTGGCAGAGCTTTGCAGCAGCATACCAGGAACCTCCAATTGTAGGTATGCCATTCCACCAACAGACCTCCCAACAGGGTTCACTTCTACTACTTTCCAAGCGTTGTTCAGCCACTGCCTGGGACACCCTTAAATCATTTAAATCAGCAGTGGGGGTGAAAGACAGATTTACCTACTTGATTTAAATAAAGTGTCTCACTGATATTACTTCACTAACAATGGTGCAAATACGAGTGCTATACTGTGTTAATTTACAACTAACCGTGCAAACCTATGCATACCTACTCAAAAGTAAGTCTTTCAGAATTCCTTGGGACTTAATCCTAAGCAAATGTGTTTAGGGTTGCAGCCTAAACTGGGCATTATTTATACAATGTATGAGGTATAATTAATTAAATAACTTGATTTTTGAAATTTAGAATAAATTAATGGATACTTTTGCTAGTTACGTGTTTTCTTCAAATTATCTACCATTAACTAAGTTATTCTTTAATATAAATATAATATTTGCAATTGAAAGTAAAAAATAGATGTGATTTAAAATGTTAAACTCCATTAATTTAAAGTATCTTCATTTTTCTTCCACCCTGGGCTATTAATAATTGTATAGACAGGAGTCTTTCTAGAGAGACTGCCTGTGCCTAGCAACATTCACAGCCTTATATTAACTGCAAGCACCTAGAATTTGTTTTAAGCTTATTTTCCCTTACTTCAAGTGTGAGAAAATTGTACCTTGAATGTGCTTGGTCTGTGAGAATTGAGTGGCCCCAGATGTCTGTTCAGGGAAGCATTTTTCCAGAGGCTGGGCTCATACTGCAGCAGCAGATAAAAAGCACTCTCTGGAACTGCTTTGTTTCACAGAGCTGCTGAAATGAAGGAAGAAGAGAGGGACTCGATTTGAGGAAATAAAGCAGGGACACCCCACACCCGCCCCCCATGGCAGTGGGATGGGCTCAGTCTGGTGGTGCAAGGTGTGACACATGAGTGCACAAGCCCAAGCGGCCTGTGCATGTGGTTCACTGACAGGGCCAGTTCAAGGCATTTTGCTCCCAGAGGCAAAGGACAAGGTGTTGTCACCTGACAGGTACAAAGGCCAGCTGGACAGAAAATGGAATATTTTGCTCAGTGTGGCTGGAAAGGGTTGCATGGGCCAGTCCTTACTGATAGTGCAATTCTATATGTGTCTATCCAGAAATAAGCCGCATTATATTCAATGGGACTTATGCACAGAGGAATGGATATAGGATTCAGCTTAGGAACCACCAAAGGAGACCGAAAGTGATGTGAGGAGCAAGAGAGTCCTTGTTCACATCCAACAGTGCCAGACTACCAGGAAAAAATGAGGAAGCATCCCAAGGCTGGCTTCCACGGAGGAAGAGATGGAGAGAAACTGTTCAATGCAGCGACATCTTGAATATCACGTTGAAAATATCCATACTGGAATTCAGAGGCTGTGAAACTTTAAAGAGCAGACACACTTAATGTTTGTTGCTTAGGTGTATACCTTGTCCACGGCATTTTCCAATTAATGTGTCTCTCTCTTGTTAGGCTCTGGTTATGTTTTATGAGGGAGATATAGCTGTGCTGACCTATTTCTTCCTCCCCTCTCACACACCACCCCAATCTCCCTGATCAAGTCTGAATTTTTAGCAGGAATGTGATGGGAAGTAACTGTGCTCATTCTTTCCCCTCCCTGTTCCTATTGCTTAGGGTAAGATGGAAAGGCAGGGAAATGCTGAATGCAATGCTCTATCACAGTTAGGCTGTTCATGGCAGGAATGAGTTAGAATTCCTGAAACTGTTTAGCTTTTTGGAGCAAGAGAAGTTGGACAAGTTAAGTGGCAGTGTTTGAACTGGATTTCTGTGTGGTTCTGTCTCCCTGCATCAAGAGCACACAGCAGAACAGGCTCCAGGAGAAGTTCCTTGGCCCCATTCTGACTGTGAGCTGGGGCACTTCTTTTTTCCCATGGCTTTCTCCATCTTCCGCTCTGTTCTCCAACTGCTGCTGCTTAGCCCTTGTCTATAGTGGCCTCAGTGGCTGCAGCAAGCAGCAGATGCAGAAGCAACAGATGGACTTAGCTGCTGGGCCCTCTGAATAGCCATCTTTCCCAACGCACACAAACAATAGTTGGCTGATCTGGGTAGGGGGGGGGGAGGCAGCAGGACCATAGCATGAGTGGGGGGGAGCGATGGGGCCCCTTTGTGCCATGCGCCGTTTAGTCTGACAACTACAAGGCCACTTTGTTCTTTTCCTCAGGACACTCTGAATAACAACTCGCTGGGGAAAAAGCACAGTTGGCAGGAGAGAGTGTCCCGGTCGTCATCCCCTCTGAAAACGGGTGAGTTGATGTCGCTGCAGAGGCTGGCTCCCTTTCTGTCATCCCTCCCCTTTTGCATGCTGTTACATTCTCTGCTGTGGGGACCTCCTCCCCACATTCTCCAGGAGTCATTTCACTTTGGCCTGCCTCTTGAAATGGATGCTATCATTTTCTTAATTGACTAGTGGGACACAAGCCATTTGGGTGTTCATTTTCCCTGAATGCAGTTCTTTAGATCTAGCTCTTTTTTACCCAAGTCCAACAGTGGCTTGTGTTCCATCAATGCAAAAGAATTTGTAGCATGAGAACTATTATAATGTGAAAGAGTGTTGCACTTGAGTTCAGATCCCTTGACAGTCATGCATTACTCTCTCGGTTCAAACACTTGGAGCTGCTGTGAGGGGTAACTCTGTATATACCATCATGGGTTTCTTGGAAGGATAGGATACATGGAACAAAAATGGGATGCAATTTTATGCATAGAACAAGGATGAGATGAGTGATGCAACTAAGACTGGACCTTATGGCCAAGTCTGTTCCCTCCCCCACCCACACATGCACCCACACAAAACACCTCAGTGGTGGAGTGACAGGTAATAAGAGCACTGGGGCAGCAGAAGCAAATTCCATTTTATTCCTGCAATCATGGTGGTGCTCTGATTTAAGTGAGCTTAAAGCAAAAAATTGCATATGCTCAATCAGTATAGGCAAACATTCTAACATATAAGCATGTAAAGGTAGTCGCAAATCATACAGTGGTGCTTAGAGAAAGAAAGAGTTGTGTGTATCACAACCAAACTAATACAGTGGTACCTTGGCTCATGAACTTAATCGGTTCCACGATTCTGGTTGTGACCCAAATTGGTCATGACCCAGCTCAAATTTCCCCATGAGGTTCATTGTAAATAAGGTTAATCTGTTCTGTAACCAATTTTTTTTAATCACAAAAATTTGAAATGTGACAAAGAACAACAAAGATCACAGCCATCTCCCCCGCCCCGAGCATGACCGTGAACGTGCCCATCTTCCCTGCATGATTGCAGTCATGCTCAGGCAGGGAAGATGGGAGTGATCGCGGCCAGCTCCGCCCGCCTCCCCCCAAGCACGACCACAATTGTGCCTGTCTTCCCTGCATGAGTGCAACCATGATTGCAGCCATCTCTCCCCCTCACCCAAGCACAATCATGGCCATCTCCCCCCTCCCCCAACCACGACCGCGATTGCACCTGTGCAGGGAAGGCAGGCGCAATCATCATCCTCACCTGATGCGGAGTTCGCGACCTGAGGCAACATTTTTCTGAATTTCTGTTTGCAACCTGATTTGGTCGTGAACTGAGGCGTTTGTGACCCAAGGCACCACTGCACAAGGCTGTCTAACCCTAACCCTGACACTGCCCCCCCCCACACACACACATAATGTTTACATCTAAGGTCTAAAAGTACCTGGCTGCACCAGTGGGTATGATGCAAAATTAACATGGGCCTTTCAGTTCCCTAAAACCACTTTCTTCTGATTGGTTCTGGTCTTGGGACTGCTGCTCCAAAAATTGGCCATTCTGATAACAACATTGAATGTGGGATCTAGCTGCATTCATTATTGATTGTGGCCATTCAGGTGGACAGTGTAATGTCCCAGAGGCCCCAACCCAGTGTAGTGTGGTGGTTAAGAGTGATGGGCTAGGACTCAGGCAATCTGGCTTCCAGTCCCCACTAGGCCATGAAGCCAATTGGGTGACTTTGGGCCAGTCACAGATGTATAGGTTTATTTACCCCTCAGGGTTGTTCTGCGAATAAATGAAGAGGAGAAACTTGCCTTGGGTTCCTTGCAAGAGAATGAAAGGTGGGATAATAATAAGATGATGATGATGATGTCTATTCATTCCCTTAGATAAAGTCTCTTGAGAGGTTAGATATACAAAGGTTGTTTTTTTGCCACTGCTTTGAATTAAGCATATGGGGTGTGCTAACATACTGTTTCTGGTTTCATTGGTGGTCTTGTGTGTTCTTCTCTTCTCCTGGTGCTTATTACCAACCCACAGGTGAGCAGACCCCTCCTCATGACCACGTTTGCCTGAGTGATGAGGTCAATCACCAAAACAGCACAACCTCCACCAAAGATCGGGGCACGTCTACAGAGAGCCCGTGCCGGCGTACGGCTGCCACACAGATCGCGACAGCCTGCATTGCCTCCTCCCGTGCGCCTGAGAAGCAGCAGGCTGCCAACCGACCCCAACCACAGAACCCGACCATTGTAGTAGTGACAAGGGGGCCAGAAGCCTATCGGGACCGCATTCGCTATCAGACAGATGTTAGGCTAGAAGCTACAGAGGAGATATACTTGACACCAGTACAAAAGAATTCTGACCCCCTGGAGTCCGAGAAGCCATTCATGTCACAGTCCAGTGACAACCGGATGTCTATCAGCTCTGACATAGACTCTTCCAGCTATCCACAACTGGCAGGAAAACCCAACACCTCCATCAGTGAGGAGGATGAGGTGCTGGATTACTTGTCCTCACCTGACAAGATGAACGCACCAAGGACTGTGTATGGTAGCAGCAGTGGCAGCTACCGGCCTTGCCACAGTGTCCAGAGGGCGTCCGTGAGCTCGGACACCAGTGCCCTCTCCTATGATTCAGTCAAATACACGCTTGTGGTAGATGAGGATGTGCAGCTGGAACTCGTCAGCCTGAAGCAGTGTTACTCAGGTTACAGTGACGAGAGTGATTCGGCCACCGTCTATGACAACTGCGTCTCCTCACCCTATGAATCAGCCATCGGGGAGGAGTACGAGGAGGATGCTCTGAAACGGGACTCTGTTTGTCTCTCTGAGGACTCCACACCTGAGGCAGACATCCATTTCTCCAAGAAGTTCCTCAATGTCTTCATGAGTGGCCGGTCGCGCTCCTCCAGTGAGTGCTGGGGCAGGAGGCCTTTCCAGTGAGCACTGGAATGGAGGGAGAGGGGAGGGATTTGAAGCATCTCTGCAAGGTGATCACAGTCATCCCTTGCTCAGGCCGTATCCAGTGCACTGTGGGACATGGCAAGGTAGCTAGGCAGTACAAGGGACAGTGCCAAGAAGAACGTTCTCTTTCAGTCCACAAGGACCTTAAAACATTTTCTCCAACTTGGTGCCTTCTGGATGTTTTGGACCAACTACAGCTAGTGTGGCCAATGGTTAGGAATGCTAGGAGCTGTAATTCAAGCCATCTGGTGGGCACCGGCCTAGGAAAGGCTGCCTTGTGGCCACTTAAAACACATGGTGCAAGAGAATGGCAAGTGTGATTGGCGTGCCTTGCCACCTATCTTGGTTTCTAAACTTGCAGAACATAGAACAAAGCTTCCCTTACTGAAACCGTGTATAGCCATGGTTTATTGTTTCTGTAGAACTGCAGCACATCTTATTTTAATAGCTGTGCTTGAGGATCTCTGCAACTTCTTTTCTGTGAATCTTTAAGATGGGAGCCCTCAAAGCCTAATAGTAACATTTCTGAAAGTACCACTGATGGAATTAAGCAGGGGCGGAACAGGAGGAATTGTTGTGAGAGCATTAGGGGACAATTGTGTACATGGTTAGACAGAAAAACATTTTAAACTCACAGCATGCCCCACCCAGAATTGCAGGACATTTTTGCTATTTAAGCAGGCAAAGGATTGCAACTTTACAGAGTTTTCATCCTTCACTATACTGATGGCTTCTCAGTGGCTTCTCTACCAAAATAGCTAGTAGAGTTGGACACAGCCGAGAGTTTTAAGAGAGCTAAAAATGATGTGACACAAGAATGGCTGCCCTCATTTGGGTGCATGCATTTCAATTGTCAAATTTGGCAAAGCAGGGTTTGCAAGATTTTGAAATGCTGTGAAGGCTTGTAAGCCCTGTTTATCAGAGCTGACACTGAGAGGAGTGTACACACTATGAGCGACTACACATCCTTCATACCATCTTCAGCACTGGAAAAAAGTGTCTCCAACCCCTTGATCTATTCCATAAGAAGTGATCAGCTCAGTTAACTGGTTGCTCTCAAGAGGCCAAAATGTGTTAGGTTGTTTAGACAACCTGCTTTTTCACCAGTGATTTCCTGAAGAAAAGGCTGGGCTGAAGTGTTGGCATGATGTGCAGTTAGGATTGTTGTCAGTCTCTTTTGATGAGCAAAGCAGTTGTCTGCATTGTTTGAACAGGAGAGTTATTAGGTGGCATTTCCACACTTCATTTTCAGGTGCTGAATCCTTCGGGCTCTTCTCTTGTATTATCAATGGGGAGGAGCAGGAGCAGACTCACCGAGCTGTCTTCAGGTGAGTGGAGTGCAGGGAAAACTCTCTGCCCCAGGTAATAGAACCTTTTCACCTATCTGTCCAGACAGCACTGGTGTCTTCAAACAAAAGTTGTTTGAATTGGACGAGAGCCTGTGTATCTCAGATTGTGATACTGGTTACAAGCATACTTGGACATATTTTAATCTGTGAAGGCCTTTGATTCAACATCCAGTCCTCAGCTTGGCCTACTAAACAATTCATTTTGGCCATGAGGTTTCATAGAGCCAGTGCAGATGTTATTTGCCAGTGCTTCTGTACACAGATAGCTTTTTCTGATTACCTTGACCTACAGAAGTTGCCAAGAGGCAAGCAGGACATAGTTTGTACAGTTAGAGTCTGGGATTTGGTTTTCTGGACATGTATGCAATTATTGCAACATCCTTTACAGACACTTGGATGATCATGAAGTCGTCCTTGCTGAATGAATGCACAAGGGGAGCCGTCTGAATGATATTCCTTTTCCTCATAGTTATGATGATGAATCTGAACACAATTCCTCTAATGCAGGCTTGAGTAGAAAGCTTTGAGTACAAATGAGAGAGTCCTTTTAGTTGAGGCATGTACCTCCAGAATGAGCTTCCATGAAGGGATCACCTGGAAGCTTTCAAGAATGCTCTGAAAACCCTAGCCTTTTTTCCTTTCGACCTTTAAAAAATACATGGACTGCTGGTTTTATTTATAATCACTGTTTTGTAGAATGTTACTGTCTTGTTTTGTCTTGGACTCCACCCTTAAGCCAGCCTGAAAATAATTCTAAATGAACACAGCTTAGATTTATGCAAACCTCCCAGCAACAGGTCTAACCAGGCATTTCACAACTCTCTTGGAGTCTACTAGGTGAACAGTATGTGCTAACCTTTTCTTTATCTGAATTCTCAGCACAAAATGCATTGCTTGTCCCAGACAAATGAAGCATAGCCTGTATATGATGTGCTTGCTTCCACTGCTTAAGAACGAGATATGAGTTCTGTAACCTGGTTCTGTGGCTAGCCTATTATATGTCTGCCTAACATCCCATTTGCAGTCTCACCCCAGTAGGAGTGTAACACTAGATGCAATACCTTTTATGGAGATTGCAGCAGCTAGTTTTGCTGGGGAAACATCCATTTCTTGAATACCCTGTCCATCCAAGAAACCTCTGAAATCTTTGATGAACAACCTCTCTGATAGTGCTTTGTGTGCCTGAACAGTTATTTGCTAAGACAAGCCCGAATAAATAACATCTGAACTGGCTTATAAAACCTTTCCTCTAGAGTTCTATCAAAGTTATCATGGTCAAGCAGAGTTCAGGCCCTTATTTAGTGATGTTGGAGACAGAATTATATAACAGGTCTCCCTGGAATCTTTTGGTAGGCTTGTACTTCAAAACTTTTGTAAGCAAAGTGCCATTGATTTTCTCTCCAGGTTTGTGCCTCGTCATGAAGATGAACTGGAACTGGAGGTAGATGACCCTTTGTTGGTGGAGGTACAGGCAGAAGATTATTGGTATGAGGCTTATAATATGAGGACAGGTGATCGGGGCATCTTCCCTGCTTACTATGCTATTGAGGTCACCAAGGATCCAGATCACATGACAGGTACTAACCGCATCTGTTATCCTGTTAATTCACTCATATGTGGGTCTTTCTTCCCATTCCTGCTCTGTGTTATTCAGCTCTCCTTCTACCTCTTGGTTCAGGTGCACAACTATCTTTTAAACCAGGGGTTTTCCTGATAAAATGCTACCATTTAGGTCAGTTTTCAAAGTGGGATGGGAAAGTATGTACAACTTTTAGCTCACATGAAGCTGCATAAATGTACAGAACTTGTGTGCCATCCAGTACAGCCAAGTCATTGGTTGGAGCAACTGGAAAGTTGTTTCCTCTGTAGATCAGATAATGTAGGATCTCTGTTTAAATGTGATCCTTCTCATTTGCCTTGGATTTGTTTTTTTCAGATTCGAGCAAGACCAATGATTGGGTGGATCAGTTCCGGGTGAAATTCCTTGGCTCAGTCCAGGTTCCATATCACAAAGGAAATGACGTGCTGTGTGCTGCTATGCAGAAGGTACATTTTCTTCCCACTCACAAGTCCATGCAACCAACCTAAACTCTATTATTATTATTATTTTTGGCATGGCAGTTGGAATGAAGACAAATGTGATAACTTGTTTATTCAGAAAATTGAATGTCAGGACAATTCTCAAAATGGAGAGCAAAACAAACAAGCAGAACCAAAACAAAATGCCAAAATACTAAATATATAAATACAAATGAAACTATCTGAAAGAAATGCTAAGCAGAGTGAGAATATAGCCACCAGTAAGACCAAATAGGCACATTAGTCATTAAAACCTTGCATTTAAAGCCTGCTTAAAAGGGCAGAGCCCTTAAGCTGGCAAATCTCTACAGTTTCATTGTGGCAGCTCCATCCATAAAGACTTTTGGGGGTGGCCACCAGCCTAACAGAAGAAGCTATTACTAGAAGATTATCTGTGCTTTATAGGAAAGAGGAAGAAAGTACGTATGGGAGCAGACACTTCCACATGTATTCTAGGCCCAGATTAACCTTAAACATCTTGAATTTAGCCTGGAACCAAACTGGTAATTGAGGGTGCTTGTGTGGGGTTGGAATGATATAGTCTATATGGTTGCTGCCAAAACCCAATCTGACTGCTGCATTTTATACCAGTTGCAGGTTCTGAATCACTCTCAAGGTTGCTGCTCATGTCACCCAAACCCAGATTATTAATGGCTGGGTTTGCTCATGAGAACTGCTCATGGGTTGCTGAATAAAAGTTGTTCTTTCTTGCTCATGCATGACAGACCAGGATCTGTTGTTATGTGCAACCCTGGACACTGTGTTAGAGTCCAGGATGAGGCCTGAATCTAGAAGGACTCCCACCTACAAACCATTTCTTTCTTTTGAAGCATAACCCTACTCAGAATAGACATTTCATCTCTCTGTTGCATTAAGACTACCCCATCACAAGAAACTTCATTTTTATAGAGTAAACTTTCATTTATTCACCTTTAACCATTGCCACACTGTAATAGTTAAATAGGGATAAAACTGCCATACCTGGTTCAGTTGGTGGAGCAAATAGAACTGATGCCAACCAATTCCACAACTCTAGAAAACTTCTCCCAGAGGTTTAATGTGAATCTTAAACAACATGTGAAATAAAAGAGAGCTCTACCTAGAAAAATTACACCCTCTTTACACTAGCTTCTGGACTCTCCCTGCAAGGTAAAACTCTTCTCCTTGGTGCTAGGCAATCACGCTTCCAATTATGCACCTTATCCTGACATAATAAATATAAAGGAAGAAATCCATGGCCTTCACATTCAGAATCACCCAGACATTCTGAGCACATAATGTGACTTGCAAATAAAAACACATTTCTGACAAAGTCTGGTTCATCCATTAACTAAACAAACAAAACAGAAGAGATTAAAAAGAAAAAGAAATTAAGAGCAGTAGGTTAGTGTGAAAACATCCTCATGGCCATTCAGTACAAGTGTAATTTTTATTTCTCCGGGTCTGCAAAATTTCAGCATGGAAAAGACAGCTGTGGAAGCTGCTTATTGACTAATGCCAGTGGCATTAGCAATAGACCTCTTAGCCCAGCCCCATCCATAGAGCAGTTTTGCAAGTGCTGTTAGAACATCTGTAATGCTGTGTAAGATGAAAAGTGAATGTACACATCTATAAATGTATATGGTGCTTATTAACTTTTAAAAAGTAAGGGTAGGTAACTTTGAGGAGTCCAGTGGCCGTGTTGACACTCCAGAATGCCTGGCAATGAGCTGTACTCCTGTTGGTGGGGTATATTTCCAAGTAAATGTGTTCTGTTTCCTGGGCGTAATGGTGGCAACGCACTGTGAATTTCTTGTTGTTGCCACTGCTGTTCTTAACGGTGAAGGCTGCATGTGGCCCACTCCTAATTTAAGGCATCTTCCCTGATGCTTGAAGGACAGGGTAAAACTGCTGGCTAAGCTAGCATCCAATAGGTTGGTAGTTGCATGCGCGAAGCAAGTTGTGAAGATAGCATCAACCAGCACAGGAAGAATCTGCTAAGGCCAATGTTGAGATATTACCTCTATCTTCACCTCTTGCTTTTCCCTCTAAATATACATACACCCCGCCAAAAAAAAAAGAGCACCATTCTTATGATTTCAAGTCATTTGAAGTCAAACTGATGGAGCACAGCCATCGGGAACTCAAGATAACTCATGTGGTAGTTGGTGTATTTTCTGTTTTGGCCCAGATTGCCACTACTCGCCGCCTCACCGTGCACTTTAACCCACCCTCCAGCTGCGTCCTGGAAATCAGCATGAGAGGTGTCAAGATTGCTGTGAAAAATGATGATTCCAAGGATCCCAGCAAGGTACATTTTGAGTGCATGGCTGGTTCTGCTTCCTGCGCTGTTCTGGTATCCCTTGAAGATCCACCCGTCTATATTCTCAGTGCCTCATTAGGTCTTCCAGTCCCAGCTCAGAACTACCCTCTGGCAAGTCAGCCGAAGAAAGTATGCAAACAAGATAGTGATATGCTAGCTGCAGGCAACACTTAGCATCTCCTGCAGGAGTCCTCCAGATAGGATAGCAAGGCAGGGTAGCACTCCTGACCTGAAACCCAGACAAAAACCTAGATGTTCCCAGCCTGTGCATGTACTGAGGCACTGCAGGGTCTGTTTCTAAGCTGCTGCAATAATCTGTGAAGCATGGGAAGCCCTGCTGCTGCTATTTTAAGAGGATCTGTGCAGTGAAGCCTCTTTGATTAGCCTTCCTGCATAAATAGCCTAGGTGGAGCTTTCAAGAGGAAGGAGCAGAGCCATTCAAAAAGTGCATTCTGTCAATAATGGGATTGCCTAGGCAGGGTCACTCAAGGGCAGTGGGCCTGAGGAAAGAAAGGCTGAGAGAGTGCAAGTGTCCCCACATCTTAGGCTGTATTTTAACAAATGTCCTTGGCTTCTACTTGTTTTGTTTAGTTTATTTGTTTATTATTTTTCTATGCCACCTAATAGCTCAAGTTCCCTGTACAGTTCACAACAATTGCAACCATAAAATACAACATACTATGCAACATAAAAGTTCAAAGTAACAGTATAAAATGAAAAATAAAACCTAGCAGCAATGCAAAAAATTAACTACAGTAACAGATTTAAAACAACATAAACTTAAAGATTAAAAATGCCTTGGAAAATACGGAGGTCTTTACTTGGCACCAGAAAGAGCAGAGTATAGGCATTGAACAAGGCTCTCTGGGAATTCCATTTCATAACTGGGATGTCACTACAGAAAAGGACAGTCCCTTCAAGACGGCCCAGATTTGACTGCAACCACCTTAATCAGGAAGGGGTTATTGGCTACTGGCTTATAAGTCATTAGCATCATCCAAGCCCAGTTAAGGCTTTTTCAGGAGTGGCCTAATCACAGCGTAAACTGGTCAGCACCACTCCCTCTCTAAAAAAAAGAATTTACAACCTCCCCTATCTATTAGATGTAATAAGGGCAAGTTGTAATGAGGGCTCATATGTATTTACACATTTTCTGCTATTACTTATAGCTTTGCATATTACTAAATAGAATCATAGTAGAGTTGGAATGGGCTAGAGGGCATCTACCCAGAATCTGGCTTCCTGTAACTTGAGCCTGAATAAAATCAGTTTACTTCAGCATCATGAAGTGTTGCACTCAGTTTTGAAAATTGCCATCATTGCTGCCAAAGCCTTGGGAACCACTTCTAAAAAGCAATGACGGGTTTTCATTCATTCAAATGAATACTGAAAATTCAAAATAGGTGGAACTGACTCTTTCTGACATAGAATTGTAGCAGGTGTTGTAACTGGTAATTTAAGGGATTGTGGGTTCAGGGTTGTGATGTTATTTATTTGGCTAAATGGCTTGGTGTTTGGCCTTTGTTTGCACAAGGAGAGGGATATGCACTAGTCCTGGAGCAGAATCATAGTCCTGTAGAGGTCATAGCCATTGGCTCCTGCCATCAAACTTGCTGTGAGGGTGCTTAAGACAAAGTGGAATATTACACATAAAGGGGAAAATTGCATGTTAGTGGAAATGTATACAGAACTATGGAATAGAATTAATGCAGAAAATAAAGCAAAGCAGTTCAGTTGACTGCTACAGCCTTCCTCTTATCCAGAACCTGAAATTCTCTTTCATAATCCCATATAGGAGCTTTTGGGAGGGGCTAAGAGGCTTGTGACCCATTATTTTCCCCTGTATTACCAAATATCTTTATGTAAATACTACAAGTTACAGAGTAAACTTTCAGTTTCCCCACGCAGAACATTAATTGTGACTTGGATCTCCCATGACTGATTAACTGAAAGCGTTTTACTTTTCCTTTCCTACAAGAATTGGCTGCGGTTCCTCAGCCATCCCAAGAGCTGCAGAAGTGTAATGGCTTTTTTCTCCTTTCTTCAGGGGAATAAATGTAGCCACTTTTTCCAGTTGAAGAATATTTCATTCTGTGGATACCACCCAAAGAACAACAAGTAAGTCCCAGGAGGTGATCAAAAGGCTGCTACACAAAGCTTTGGAACTCTCTCCCAGGAAGGTTCTTTGGACTTGATCAGACAGACAACTTTATTCAGCTGCATACTTGATGGTGTCCCAGAAATTTTAATTATGTTTTACATGATTGACTTTTATTGAGTTTTGAGCAAGGTTAACCACTCTGAATGCTACTTTACTAAATGGGAAGGCAGGATATAAATTATTATTAGATGCTTAGAACATGTAACAGGGGAGGGCTATTACGTTCCCTTCTCCTGGTAAGTTTTCCAGAGCCCATCATCATTGCATCCTTCTGTCAAGAAGCTCAGAGTAAGGTCTATGCTTCCTCCCCTTTTATCCTCATAAGAAGATTGTCGGGCGGGGGGGGGGGGGTGAGAAGTAGTGATTGACTGGTCCATGAACACCCCATAATGTTTATAGCCAACCAGGGGTTTGAGCCTGGGGCTCCCCACACCAGATTATTAGACCGACCTCTGTTCCAGCCTAGTAGTGCTCCTCTTATGTGCTTACATTGTTTTCAGGAGGCCTGTTGGCTGTAGCCTTTTTCCTACCATCTCCAACAACTTTCAGCAGTAGCTTGTGCACTGGTTGGCATACAGCTGTGCAAGTGTCATGGGGGATAAACTGATTAGTTTCTGTGATCATTGATGATGAGTGAGTCACTCTGCACCTGCAACTATTTTGACCTTATTTAAAATTGCTTTTTCTGAAGGCAGAGTGCTTTGGTTAGAAAACATTTTTTTAGAATAATAAGCCAACCCCCCCCCCAAAAAAAACCCTGATAACTGCCCCGAAAAGCATGTGAATTTCAGTAGAGACTATAGAGAGGAGAGGAGGGAAATGGGCAATGGACACTCTGTGGAAGACCACAGACCCAGCTTCAAGTCCAAACTCAAGTGCTGTTTCTCCCTTCAGGTATTTTGGGTTCATCACAAAACACCCAGCGGACCACAGATTTGCATGCCATGTCTTTGTGTCAGAGGAGTCAACCAAGCCACTTGCAGAGTCTGTAGGGTGAGTTGCAAGCTGTATCCTGTACCCAGGCTAACATGAATCGAGGGAGGGGAGCACTTATTGCAGATGGACACTGGCAATGTGGGAGTATGTGTAAGTGGTCAGGGATCACCTTTCATGACCAGGATGAGATGAAACTCTCATTTTTCATCACTTGGCAAGGAGCCGGGCTGTCGTGGGCGACACAACAAAGAGAATAGTAGCAGGGAGATGAAAGGTTTTCTCTGCATCCCATCTCCATTTCCCTGAGTTAGCAATTTCTCAGAAGTGGCATGCCTTTTTCTGAGCAGATTTAAAATCATGACTCAGAATGACATGGAAAGGTACCGGAATCCTTTGACTCAGATGTGCAGCATCCAGACCACATTTCATGACCAGCTGCACTATAGACTGGCGGAGAATTTGTGTCTAGGGCTAAGGGGTTTTCCCCCTAAGGGCCACTTTGGAGTTCATAAACCAGCCAGTGCTTTGCATTTATTAGCTCACCCAAATAGCCTGGTTTGCCTAAGTCTTATAATCCATGAAGAGGTGATGCACAAGGCCATAGCAGCTACTTCGCTGAAAAGTGCACCTTTCAAATGCAGCTTGTGTTGCAGCAGCCATTGGTGCAAGTCTGTGTAACAGCCTCCTGCATTATATTGCATCAGTCACTTGCATAAGCTACTAAGCATTTTGACTGAGGCTGCAGCCCTAAGCTGAGAGATTTGATCTGGTTCTTTCCTCACAGTTCTGAATGTGGGGTAGTATGAATAGCATTCCTCACCTAGGTGCAAAATGAGAACAGACAAAAGCCTATAATGCCATCTCTGAGATCTGTGGCAATAAAGCTCTAGCTAAGGGGTTTTGAACCTCTTCCAAATTGAGGGCCAAATTCCATTTTGGAGAAATTCCCCAGGGCTGCATTTCAGTGGAGGGGGGGGGCAAAGGCAAAAAGGGCAGGGCCAAAAGTACCAGCATATTGGCACATTAACTCTCTTACCACCAGTAACTAAGCCTCAGGAGAGGCATTTCTACCCTTTAGAACAAGAAAATACTGCAGAAAAGCCAGGCAACCTCCAAATGATCTCTGCTTGTAAGAAGGGGGGGCATGTCTTTTGGGGAACTCCCAAGGGCTGGATTTGGCCACCAAGCCCAAGCTTCTGTGTTTTAAAGGGTGAGACTGTGAGGAGCAGGCATGAAGAAAGAATGGGGGCATGCATCTTGTTCATGGATACTTACGGCTCTGTCTGGGCTGTAAACCTGTTCCAGCTGCTGTCTGACACACCCTGCCTCCTTTTTTGCAGGAGGGCCTTCCATCAGTTCTACAAGGAATGCATGGAATACACGTGCCCCACAGAGGACATCTACCTAGAGTAGGGGCAAGCCCAGCTCCCCCTCCCTCCTCCTCCTCCTCCTGTACAGACAAGGTCCATCTCCCCATTGTGCATGGACAAGCTGCTTCAAGACCGAAGGAGGAGCGGGCAACGGAGACGATGGTTTCCCTCCATGTGTGGAGCCTCACCTCATTCAGTGCTCCTCCTTTCCTTTTGTTGGGCTGAGGGGGTGGGGAGGGATGGGGTTGGGTGGGCAGACAAAAAGGGGTTTATTATTTAACAAAGATGCTCTTTCATTTTAATTGAAGAAATGCACCACCAGCTGAAGCAGGTGCTGCTGCCACAGGCCTTTGAGGAGAGTAGATATGGGGCCCTGGATCTGGGACAGCAGGCCTTCCTGTGCACAAGTCGGCTGACTTGGCCTACAAGCACAGAGACAGCTTCAGCAGTTTGCGGGGGTGCCGCTGTATGCTGGGGACTGCCACAACAAACCCCGAGTTGTGGGTTTAATTGGACAGAATCAAGAAAGACTTGGTGGAGAATTAGCATGGAGAGATAATGGAAGTGGTGGCCCTATTCCCTGGCTGAGAAGAGGGTAAGGAGCAAGCAAGGAGGAGAGGGGACAAACAACAGGAAAGGCTGTGATGAATGCTGCCCCCACAGGTGCCCAGGAGTAGAGTTACTCTGGCATCCAAGCATCTTGTCCTGTGTGCTAGCAAAAGATCCAGGAGTAGTCGGAGAAACACTAGTGCCTGTCCCGATTACATTGAAGGAGAGGAGGGTTCAGCTGTGGAGATAGGGAGAGTCCACGCCCTGTAATCAGCTGTTGGCAAGAGCTCTGCCAGTTCTGGCCCTTGTTCTGTTCTCTCCTTTCTCCACCACCTCCACCACCACCACCACTCTCCAACTGCAGGTTCCAAGGTCAGAGAAGGAATCTGAATCCTGCATGAAACAGAGAACCAGTTTCAAGAAGGCCGTTCTTCTGCAGTAGGGGCCTGAGAGGAGCTCCAGCCATAAGCACAACATTGAATCAAGAAGGGCTAGGTTCCATTGAGAAGTGAAGCTAGGAGAAGAGCGTGAGTGATGAGGGGCTGCTAAGAGCTTCAAAGAGGTGTGCCTTTGCCTGCCCTCCCTCCCTCCCTCTGACCCCCAGGCAGGGGGGCTTTGTGCTTCTGCTGGATCTGCTCCAACAGTAACAATGATTAAACATTGATGTTTCAAAGAGCCTGAATTGCTTTTGTTTTGTTGCCCAAGGGTACCAAGCAGCTTCTCAGCAACTGTTCTTGCGCCATTCTGTAGGAATTGCAGTATCCAGCTTGTTCTAAAAGTCTTCCTTGCTCACCATGGGAAGCCCATTGATGCCAGTCTGCAGTTTAGCAGCACCCCAGCTTGAGACCAAATTGTAGTACATCCCATTAAGAACACTAACATCCTCAATTTTCAAAACTGCAGGGATAAAAATGGCATTGTGTTATCAAAATGTGGGCAACTCCCATTGGATCTAGTTGTGTAGAATGGTGATCCTCAAACATATTGAAGAATCTCTCTTTGGGCAGGTCTGTTTCTTTCCTGAGATTGTTTTGAATGGGATTGTGTGTTTTTCTCTTATTTCAGCCTTCACTAATCTGGCACATTTCAGATGTGTTGCACTAAAAATCCCATCCAGCTTCCCAGTCAGCAAGAGTGACTTCTGTGAAGCAGGTTATGCATCTGTCTTTTGGAGCAGAATTGTGTGGTTTGTCCTTTCTGACTGTGTTTGAGGGTTCTTGTTGTTACCCAGGTCCTGGCACTCTGAAGACAGAAATAGTCTCCAAAAAAGTGTCACATTGCCTTATTCCACTAAAAGGTTTGGGATATCCAAATCCCAGAAGCCTCAATCAGCTTTGCTACAAAGCTGCTCTCTAATCTACTATTCTCTTCTCCAGCCAAACATAGATTGTGCCCTGGTAGAACCATGCTTGCCAGTTAAGAAGCTGTTCTAAAGTGGTCTTTAGGTTTCTGACCTTCATTTATATCAAAAGTTGGGTAGAATTATTATGCCCTAAAAAGAGGAGAGAGATAACTTCATATCTGTGTGTATTCCACACTGCTGTTAAAAAAAAAAAAAAAACCCAACAGCTTGTACCAAGAAAACACAAGTCATCAATTTTGCAAAATATATTCATATATTTATATTGCACAATTCTCCACACACCAATTGACTATCCATAGAATTTGGAACCTCTAAGGCGGGGTGGTGGTAAAGAAAAGAAACCTAGGCAAGAACATTGACACACAGCCAAGAGAGTCATGGCAGGTGAGGCAGAGAAGAGAACCATGAAGGGAGAGAACTGGGAATGGCCCCAGGGTTTGCCACACTATTCTATTATTATCCCAGAATTTGCAACAGAAGCCCATCTCCACAGCAGTCAAATGTTTTCAAGTTTTGCTCAGTGCTCATTAGAGTTAAGAGGCATGAAAGGAAAGCCAGGATCCACAGCCTGCTCATTTTGGAGCAAAGCACTGTCCCTGTAGTATGGATGTAAAGAACACATAGAGCTTCAGGGATGATTCCCATCATGTGGCTGAGAACAAGGATCTTGGCCATTTCCCACAGCACTAAGTGCTCTGTTTTGATTGTTCTGCCTATGATCAATTGATAGATAGCCACCGAAGGGGCAGCATATATATTGCCACTTTCCAAAGGAAAGTCAAAAGAGGTCATCATAATAATATTCCTCGAAGTCTGGCTCATCTCGCTTGGTCTTGTGTACTTTACGCAGTTTATCCAATTTCTTATGTAGTGCCCATGTCCGGAACTTGGGATACTTTGGTTTAATGCCATAATCTGTGAAAACAGGAGCTGGTAAGAAAGTGGGTAACAGTGGCAAGACAGGAAGAGAGACTCACAGAAAATGGGCATTCCACAAAATTAAACAGGGAAACTATGGCTCAAACACCCCTAGGAGGAGATGCATAAATGTATATCCTAACCTGTATTCCCTGAAGATGAGGCATTCTGTAGCCCAGAGTAATTAACTCTGAGGGCTGAGTTCCTCAGCAATACCTATTTGAATAGACAGGGACTGGAGTCAGTTCAAAGCTGTCTGCCCCTTGCTTGCTGACAGCCACTCTATGTTTGCTAGTGAGTTTTGGACCACCACTGCTCTTAGATTTCAAAGGTAAACAGCAGTGCCGTAAAGCCACCAAGAATATTCAATCCTTTCCCTGCCTCTAGTTTCAACTCACTTCAATTCTATGCTAACCCAAATCAGAGGGTGAACTTGAAAAAAATGATGTTTCTCTCTTGATAACTGGTTCTGAAACAAAAGTCTAGTGGTGCAGATGCTAGCTGAATAAGCTCCTTCCTTCTGTATCCTGCTGCACCTGTGCTTTGTTGCTGGATAACTTGGAAGATAATTTAGCAGCCAGTTACCTAGATACTAACTCCACAAGGTGTTAAGCTGCCACTTGACCAAGAATGATGCTTTTGGATTGTTTCTAGGATTAAGATCAGCTCTTTTGCATGTAAGATCAGCGCTTTTGCATGTAGGTGTGTAGGTGGATCTATTGGTCCCTGCCTCCCTCCTTTCCTCTTTATATGTTCCATTTGCAACCATAAGGAACATTATGCTGAGGAATTGTAAAAATACATGAGTACTTCTTTGTAGTTCATCCCATCATTTCCAGCTAATACTACACATTTCTCACTCTGAAACAAGCTACAGAAATGCTTGGAAAGTACAGAAGAGGCCCCACAGGATGACAGTGCTGGAAAAGGCACTCACAAATGACTGTGAGCGAAAAATCACAAGCACATAATAACTGCCTCATTTAGAAAAGTTCTCAGTCAAGGGAACAGGAAATAATACATACCATCCACCAAGCCAAAGTGCCGCTGCTGGAATTCCAAGGGGGCAATGAATTCCTCTGGGACAGATGGACTAGACTTGCTGCAAAAGAGCACAAGTTCAGGAATCACTGTGCTTCCTGTATAAAGCCCTGTTTTTCATATTGATTTTGACCTACAGGAAGAGCTTCCCTAAAAAGCAAATCCTCCTTTGGAAGAAAACCAAGTGCACTAGTGCAAACGTGCACCAAAACATGTTTATAGTAAATTCTCTATGAATAACATATGTTTTTTCCAGGCCTGTTCACCACTCTTGATCAAGAAATTATGAATTATATTAAAATGCCATTTAAAAGATTTATTTCTCCAGTTAATATGATTGTTATATTTCTGCAGTGTATCTCTTAATGCCCCATATATTTTCCTTAATTGTAAAAGCATATTTTGAAAAAATAACTAGAAATCATGTATTTCACATTTGAAAAGGCACAAACCAGATAAAAAGCAAATTACATTTGTCCAGCCATACCCAGTTAGGGAAATCTGTGCAATGTAAATGTCATGTGCTAGATCAGAAACTGAAAGTACACAATCACACTGTTACTTTCATTTGATTTCAAATGCACCTGATTCACATTCTGGTACAAATAGTTAAATGCCTCCCTAAGAATACAAGCTAAACTGAAGTGCAATACCCTCTTACTCATGCTTTCTAGATAAGCCCTAACATAGAAAATGGCATGTCATTATTTTTATTTTCTTCAAAACTACGTTATAATTATGGACCTCAACATACATATTATATAGATCCCTAACTTTCATTTTCATTCTAGTTTTTCTGTTAATATTTCAAGGGTGCAAAATGTCCAGTCCTTGTACCTAAACTCTTGTACAGGGAGATGTGATTCCTTCACCCCTCATATTCTAGTTTTGTTTATACCATAGTTTAGATGACTGTTGTTAAACACTTACAAAACACCCAAAATGTATCTAAGTACTGTGCAGAGATTAACAGATAAGACAGTCCCTGTCTGAAGGTTTACAATCACATATGTACAAGAGGAAAGTGGAATGAAAACAGAAAAGCAAGCATTAGTGATGAAGAAACCTACCGGATAGCTATGGAAAATTAAAATATTTTTATTGCAGATGGGGGTATGATTTATAATATTAGTGCTTGTTGGCGTAGTTCACCTTTTTCTCATGCATCTTTACATGAGATGCGCCATTATGTAGAAATTATGGGTTATTTTTATTTACATCAAGAAGACCCCATGAAAACCTAGACTGTTATATGAGCTAACTGCCAAATCATCTCACATTGCGGTGTATTTATATGAGGTGAACGTTCACTAAGCAAAAATAGTATCACATATTCAACCTGAGTATCACATCAAAGCTTTTCCTGTATCAACTCATCCCTGCCAGGTGGGGGTATGATTACTCTTTTCTTGGTGAAACTATGGCTAATGGTACTCATTAAGGTTTTCTCATCACCGGCTTAGTTTCTTCCCAAAGAAAAAAAATCATTCAAGCAGCACACAGGAAAATTGCATTTTTGTGTATCAGTGCAAAGAGAAGCAAAACATCTCTGAAATACATCTGTTAACAAATAAGAGCATGTGAGATGAGTCAATCAACCTATATTTTCAGCTTTCTGGAATGTTGTCCTGCTGGTGTCCATTGTTTTATATCAGCATGCTTTTTGTTTGGTAAGGGCTGATAGATTTGCATGAACCACCTCTTCCAGGAAGGCAAGATTTCTAAAGATGTAGGTAATCCCTGAAGACTGGAGACTGTAGAGTTTCAGAGAAGGCTTACCAATCAAATCACCCATTTCTCTTCACCACCCTTAGTCCTAGATACAGCATTAGGAATGTGTCAAATATAGAGAATCAACAGCATTTGATTTGTACAGGTTAATTAGCCACAACTGTTACCTTTGAAAACTTGGCATGGGCAGTACTCTCTCCATCAAAAAGAGCAGCAGAAACAGGAATCCCATCCAGCCAACAAAGCCAAGTCCAACTCTGGTTCTTCTTACTCTCATCGGTGGAATGTAACAGCAATTCTCAAAGCCTTCTATGCCATCACAAAGGGGAAGAACACAGGCAATGCTGAATCCTGGGTAATAGTCTGGCCAATGGGAGCCAGCCTAAGAATGAAAGGTAGAATAACTCTTTAGACAAAAATATTCACTCACAAAGATTAATGTTTCAGCACCTTGGTTTCTACCCATTTTAAGTTTTGTCCTACATGCTCTAGTAGTCATGCTTCAGTCAATTAACTCCTTGATCTTTACAGCTCATCTTATGGACTCAGGAGTATTCAGAGCCTTCGTGAAGTCGCATCATTTTTTGAAAGTCTGTAGACCCTTAAAAATGTTTATTTTAGGAGAACATGACACAGCACATGTAGACATTTTACCACCATTATGACATTTTCATGCTTTCCTCTCTCACAATCATAGAATGATTAATAGCACAGAAACCAAAAGATGAAGTCTCAAAAGTGTACAGGGGATATTCAGCAAGAATTCAAATTGTTGATAACTTTAACTTTGATTTTCCATATTTCTGCTCTTCATCCAGCCATGTGCAGGAATTTTGTTTAAAAGGTCTCTTACCTAGCTGTCTCCTTCAAGAAAGCAGAACTCTGCTTCCTTTTATCACTTGCTCACGCTGAGATGTCAAACTCTGACAGGTGGTACATATAGGGCCCTGGTTGCATATATAAGGCTCCTCCAATGCAGCTGGCCAATGTTGACTAGAGATGATGGGAGCTCTTGTTCAACACATCTGAATTGCACCTGGCTGGGGAGGCCAGGCACAAATGCTACTCCCAAAGGTGTAATTCAATATGGAAAAATCGCAGTTAGATGCTGGTTAAAACACCACCTCTATTTCTGAGGAGTTTTTTCTCTCCTATCTGCTCTTCTTTCTCAGAAGAACTGAATTACTTCATTCTGTACCATGAAGACTGTTGGCAAGAAGGAAACATGGTATGCTTCATGAGGTATACTTAGGCTTAGGACCTCTTAAAATGATCTAAATGCATACAGGTGAGATCATTATCTTTTCACTGATGCAGTTTGTATGATCCCTTCTGTTTAGGACTGAGTCTTCTTTTGAAGAATCAGGTTTGGGTGGCTGCTTCCTGAGGCTAGTCATCAGTTCCGGCCTTTTAATTTTCATTTAGAGAGACTTTAATTTAGCAAACATCAACCAATTTGCTAAGCTTTTGGCCCCCGCCTGCCAGCCCCTCTGTCACTAGTGACTGTAAAGACTTACAGCAAATGCAAGAGCAGTTTTGAAGATATTCTACAAGCTGTGGAACTTAATATCCTCCAGGGAATGGCAGGAAATTGAACAGTCTGGCAAAAGAGAAAGGGCAGCAGCCATGGCCCTTGATACAACAGGCTCCAGCTGAGTGGCATATGGACTGCTGGAAGGGTGCCAAGGAGCAGCACACACAAGAGTTCTTGGCTGGCTTCCTGGGCTGGCCGAAGGGGTGCTCAGTTCCTTGCCAACTGCAGTAGTGCACTGCATATGCGTGTGCGCGCATGCACACGCGCGCACACACACACATATATGTGTTTGGTATTTCCTGGAAAACACAAAGAGGGAGCCAGAAAAGATAACTGGTTTGCATGAAGAGCAATAATGGTTTAATCTGAACTTTGAAGCTGCTTTTCAGTGATGGCTCCTGCCCTGAAAGATGTGCTTCAATGGGGGGGAGTGCACTTTTAGGTAGGTTTTAGCACAAACTGCTCTACCTTTAAAAATAAAGCCTCAACGGTCACCACAGAAGTGCTTATGTTCTACCCATCTTGCCTGTTCCCAGAATGCCTGGAAGTGAGAGAGTACTTGCAAGTTGTGTCCTGACATCCAAGACATGAGACCAAGCAGACCAAAAGCAATGCCATCTCCAGGCTTTATTAACTCAAAACTATACAAAATGCATACAAAAAGAGTTTGCACTCCCCTGCCCCAGCCTTGAAATCAGTTATATCAGAATGCAAAAGGGAACAGCAGAGGTACTAATAAATCACAGTCTTCATAGTGTCCAGTGTTCACAAGAAAATGCTTCTTTGAAAAGTTCAAAGAGCCTGTACTCGTATCTTGGAAACCATTAGCATAAGCCATAGAAAGATGTGCTGATGTTTTTAAAAAGTCTCACGACTGCCTCTATAAAGCCATCCTGCCATCCCAGGCGTATGCTTCAGGCTGAGCCATTCCTGACTGCAATAGTCCCAACTGAATAAGATCAACCCCAGTTGTAGAAATAGATTTTCTGCCAGGCTGGCAAGTAATCCATCAGTGGCCCTGAAATACAGAGAGAGAGTGTACATTAAGAGCAGCCAGTAAAGAAGGCCTTAAAACATAGGTGGAAACTGCAGGCCAAGAGGCCAAATCTCCTCTTGGATTCCTAATCCAGCCCCTCTGGAGTTCCCCAAACAGCCGTGTCCCTTTCCCCCAGCTACCAGTCATTCAGTGCTTTCCTATCTTTTTGTGTAGTCCCCATCCCCCACATTCAAAAAGGTTAGATTTCCTTTCTAAGGCTCAGCTGCTGTCAGCCGTATGCTAAAATATGCTCATGTTTGGTATTTTGCTATATTTTTGGTCCTACTCTTTTGACACTGCTGATGAACTGAAAGCTGGTCCAAAATCAAATTCAGGCCTGGAAACCTAAGGCCCGAGGGCCAAACACCTGGAGGTCCACTGATTCCCTACCTCTCCCTAAGACCCAAGCCCAATACAGAGCCCAATGCTTTGACAGAAAGAATGACAGAAACTCTGTGATTGGCTCTTCTTCCTCCATAATTCACACAGGCTATTCCAGGTGCCAAATCCAAGCACCCACAGTGTGCTGTGTATGAGATAATGGCAGGAAATATAGTCACCATTTTGAAAGACAGCTTTGTACTTATCCAAGCCTGAAAAATAGTTTATATTCCTAGAGGCTGATGTAACTTTGTAAGAAGCTGAGTCCTACAGAGATCTGAGCTTTTTCAAATGCCCTAGATGCCAGCATCAAAAGTGTTAGAAGCTGGGATTTTTGCAGACTTGTTCTATTTATACATCTAACTTGTCTCTCATGTGAACATCTGGCAAGGAGACCAGACATACAGAAGGGAGCTAAGCATGATGGGAGGATCCTCTCCTATGGTTTCCTTCACCCTTTGACAAGAGCAGATATTGCAGCGGCCATCTACTTACGGGTGACTAAGCCAACTCCAGGGACGTAATCTGCCAACAGGCGCAGCAGAAAGAGGATCCTGCCCCTGGGGAAGAGAGGGAGAGAAGAAATGAGCCAGTGGCAAAGCTATCAGCGTGAGGAATGCTCACGAGCCATAGATTTGTGGGGGCTTGTGCATCCTGCTCAGCCAGGAACCACATGGTTTCCTATGGAGCTTGAAGAGGGATGGGGGTGAGCATTGTTTCTGCTGAAGCTGGCAGAAAATGCCTGGCATACTCACTCAGAGTATCTGTCATAGAAGGGAGATCTCAGCAGGTAATACAGCAGCAGGACAGTCCGGCGCCTCAGCTCCACATGCTCACGCTTGTTGAGGTCTTTCATATCACTCAGTAAACTCAAGCTGCAGAAGAAAAGGCAGGGAAATTTTAAGGGGCATCTTTTATGCTTTGATGTATCTGTGGCTGCACTGAGCAAAAAACCTTATTCATTTCTCAAGTGAAAAGAGACCTACTCTTTTCTACAATAACAGTAATAATTTTAACATGAGAGCTTTTAAGCTTCAAGCCTCATGGACAGGAGGATGAGAACTGCACTCTCTGAACTGAAAATCTTACTAATTTCAATAGTGAAGAGCTCTACATATGTTCAAAGGCACCATCTCTGTTCTATTACTCGTATGTTCAAAAGTTTAGTTCTATTAAAAACTGGGAGAAGAAACAGGAAGCCTCTCTGTCAAAAAGATCAAACGGAATATTCTCCAGCTACATACACCCAGTAGTGCTTTCTTCTCTTTCTTCTGGGGTGACATGCAGTGACATGCAAGTCCAGTGGAGGACTTGAAAACAATTACCTGTGTTCCAAAAGAATATAAAAAAGTGGGTCCATGACTCTGACATACTTTTCTTCAGACTGACCTTGTGATATCCAGCACTGCTGAGAGGAGCCACGGTTTCCAGGATCTCTGTCCCCATAACCCTAAACTTATCACTACAATCAAGTGTTAAGGAATGGACAGACACGAGGCAAAGGCTGTAGGAGCAGAGCAACGTCCAAGCAGTGCATAAACTACCTAGGCAGGTAAGAACAACTGTACTACAAGGATAATCAGAGTAATGGTAGAGCAACAGACATCCATTAATAGACGTCTTGCTGCCATATCTTTCAGACTGTTGGGGACCACCCACACAAGGAAGCATTGCTCCCCCTCCCAGTTTTAAAAAGCCAAGAAGGGCAAGGAGCCAACATAGAAGTGGTGGCACAACCCTGACCAAGCACTTGGTCAGCATCCTCAAGCTGCATCAACTGTACTGAACCTGGAGCAGGCTTTCTCACCCAGGGACTTAACAAAACCTTGAGTCTCCCTGCCAGAACCAAACCTTCTCAGAGAGCATGCTTTCTGCTGGGGCTGCAGCTCTCTCTAGTGGCATACAGAATATACTGCAATATCCATTGAAAGCCAAGGTAGTAGGATACAGTGGAGCAAAGGACGGGTAACATAGATGGACTCTGCAATGGTTTCTTGGATGCCCAAAGGGGTTGGTGATTGGTCTAGCTCCACTGCTCTTCGGTTCTGCGTCTCCTCCCATCGCTGAGGAGCTCCCCAGTGTCTGGAGTGCAGGGATGGAGCTGAAATTAAGACAAAGGTATGCTGTTGCATGGAGAGCAAAATTTCAATGAGCACCCAGCAAGGTGTCTGCACATACAGATCTGGTTTGCACAGTTACCGCTGTCCACCATGGCATGTGCATGTCAGATGCTTTTCAATATGCAAACCACAGCCAGGCCACGTAATCCACAGCAGCTAGGTTCAGACAACAAGACAAGCTGCAGCCACACCCTGAATATTCAAAATGGCCACTGGCAATCTGTGCAGCCCACCATGGCGGTGGGCTGTTCAGTCATCCAGAGAACACAGCACACAGCTACAAACTACAGCCAGTATCTGAAGTGCACTTGCACAATAGCTGGGGTGTTTTTGAAACACACATTTGAAGTGTGGCAACCCACAAACGAGTCCAGCCCCAGCCTAGCCATCACACAGACTAAAAGATACTCACTGCTATCAAGGGACCTCACGACACGGCTGGAGCGCTTCCCCACATATATCCGCTCCTTCCCAACCAAGTTGCCTTCCATGTCTGTCAGGAGAGAGGTGCATAAGATCGTAGCCAGGGCAGGGCAAAATCCTCCCAGCAGCTGTATTTGATTAAGGGTAGCACACCCACTCATCAACCAAGAATGACAAACTTACAACAAATGGGAATCTGTGAAATTCTTGTTCAAATTGAGTGCTTCTGTGAACTGTCGACAATAAACCAGTGGTGAACATGCAGCCTTGAAAACATTGTTTGACCACAATTCCCAGCATCCCTCATCTGGCAAGGGCTGAAGGGAGCTGAAGTCTAACAATACCTGCAGACTCACACTCTCCCCATTCCTGCCCCACTCATTGCACTAAACAAAACCCAGGTAGGACACCAAAAGATGTTGCTTCAACTTCCTAACATGGCCTTCCAGCAGAAAGAGACACTGTGAATCTCACCCACTCTAAGCCACAGGACAGGCTCCTAAAACAACTCCAGCAGCCCCAGCCAGCATGGCCAACAGTCAGTAATGCCAGGACCTGTGCCCTAAAACATCTGGAGGGCACCAGGTTGTGGAATGCTGGAGTGAAGCATTCTGCAAAACAATCAGAAGCTCCTTTTGCATTATCAGTGGAGGAGGGAAGGCTGCATTCCTTGTATGGTGTTACAAGTAAAAATGGATTGAAATTGCACAAGCCTCTAGAGTTTATCCTCCTCTTAAAGTGTTGGGGAATGGGAGTCCCTCCAGAAGTGGCTCAGCATCCCTCCCCATTGCCTAGGCTGGTTACGTTTAATGAGAGCTACAATCTAACAACTAGATGACCACCAGTTCCTCACCACTACTCTAAGGAACGGCAAAATGAGGCAGGAGGTGGCCCAACCTTCTCTAAAACAGCCTTCCCCAACATGTGTTGGGCTGCAGTGCCCTTCATTCCCAGCCAGTATGGGCAGGTAAGAGGGCTATACAGCCAGTAAAAGTTCAGCTTGCTGTCCAAAGATGTCTCTTTGGTGCACAGGGGCTCCATTCTTGAGGTCTGCCTTGCCTTAGCTGCAGCTTTTCAGGGCTGCTTAAATGCTCTTGTATTCAACCCAAACTGCTTCCACTGATGGCTTCCTCTGCAGGCTGCACAGAGGCATCCTTACTTCCTTTCTGGATCTTTCCTAAGAGCAGGATCATCTTCCTGACCTAGGTCTGTAAGCATACACATCTACCTGGATGGGTGTACCTTTGCCCAACAATATTTGTGCATGCAAGAGGTCACTAGAAATGAAGGTGGACACACAGCAATGCAGGGAAATCACTAAGAGCCCAGGCAAATGACTTGCTTTTTAGAAATAGTCTGGTGGCCATAAGAATAGTTCCGCTGGACTGCATCCAGACCCTCCTTCTGGTCCTCCCAATTAAGCCAAACTGGTTGCACCCATGCAGTGCCTTACCTTGCTGCTGCAATGACTGTCTCCTGTCTAGTGGCACAATGGGAGGAGACGTCTGGATGCCAGCTTTGTACCAGAGCAACAGCAGGAGGCGCAAGATGGCTCTGTGGGTTACAGCAAGTCATGGGCTGGAAGCAGCAGACACGTGCTGAAGCCTGCAGCTTCACAGTCAAGGCACTAGAAATATACACATCCATGTTTTGCACTGATGGGCAACACCCCCCACACATTTGCATTTCTGTTTGGAAACTGCCTGTCTTTGACAGAGGCTCAAAAAGAACCCAAACGGAGATGGCTGTGTAAAGTAGGGATGGGTGGACTTCAGGCTCATGGGATCAGCTTGCTGTTGTGCTAGAACCCTGCGATCCACTGGCCAGAGCCAGGAGCAAAACAGCAGCTCAGCTGGATGGTCACACAACTAGAATTAAGGAGATGGGTGCCCCTGAGCAGATGCTCAGCACAGGAATTGGTGAGCTGTACCAGGACCAAGCTCGCCAGTTCTTCCCTGCATGTGTTGAATCTGCATCCAGCTGCTCTGAAGTCACCGCCAAAAAGGCCCCATGCCCCTCAAGTGTACCCCAATGGATCTCATGGTGAGCCATGAACATTTGATGTCACATACCCCTCCTTTCCATTCAATACTTACTTGGCTAGCTGAATGAGGACAATAACGGCCCACCTGCCAGTCTCACCCCACACCTTGACAGCACCCATCTCGGCAAAGACCTCCATGCATTCGAGAACGCTCAGCCATGTTAGCAGTTTCTGCTGAGGGAGTGACTGCAAAGCAAGAGGCAGGCAAGTATGATCTGCCAGTCTTCAATGTATAGCCAATATTCTCCTCCAAATCTCAGCAAGACAGCTCTGTTGAGGGCTGAGTGGAGTCCTGGGTCAGAAGCCTTCCAGACGGGTAGTGTGTGGAATTGGCTGGGGCTCACAGGAGCCTCCTATGCAGATTGGGCCCGCAAGTTCTTCAGATGAGCTTTAGAGTCTCAGACGAAAAAGAGGAGGGGGAAGTAAAGTATGAAGAGCCAACGGCAGGGGAAGCCGAGATGAGGAGGGAGCAGAAAGTCAACCTGATCTTGAAACTGTAGGAAACCAGAGCTTTTCTAAAGAGGAACTACAGCGGAAAATAGGCATGACAGACCCAAGAGTAAGGACTCAATTAGGGAGAACAATAGATAATAATATAATAGTATAATATAATAATAAAGTATTCTAAGTGGATGGATCTGTAAAGTAAGTAAGGAACTATCTTGAAGGCTCAGTTTTAAGATACTATTTATTGGAAAGGAGGGGGCATTAGTCAATCCATATTAGGTTAGAATCAACTTTCAATCCAGCTACGTGCATTGATTAACTACTTCCAGTTCAGCAATAGCTTACTTGCAGCCCTCAACCTGAGCCACTCAACCATAGAGTTCTATGGGTAGAGGTGCTCTGCACTGGTTCCACCCCTTTTGTCTTCAGCTCCACCCACTACCAGAAATTGAAAGGGGTTCAACACTCCATCATATACCAAAAATTAAACAATTACTAGAGCATATCTTGGGAAATATGTTGGAACAAGTAACAGGAAAGCCTCTCCCTCTTTCTCTCGTACATTTGTGTACACTTGTGCTGGCTGGCCGCTGCTGGATTACAACATCAGATCATTAAGTTAATCAGCAACACATTTCTTATGATAGGACAAAACAGTACAATTGCACCAGTTATATGTAGGGGGAAAGGTTTGTATTCTGTACCTTGTGTTAATATGCAAGTTCTGTAAATGCTCTACTGAACTCACTGGAAATTACCTTTTGAGTGAATTGATTTGATTTGCACCCCACCTTTCTACCAAAAATGTGGCATTCAGGGCAGCTAACATGTGTAGGATTGCACAGTTACTCTACACAGTTATTCTATTTCTGATTCAGTTCCCAAAAGACAAAATGGCACCACCCATACACAAGAGCAAGGTACCAACAAACTCAAAGTAATCCCTGGGTTTGCAGAAGTACAAAATCTCCATAAACAAAAAACTCTGAAGGGGAACCCTCACCCCTGAAAAAAACCTCAGCTGCCCAGGTGTGGCCAGGGTGGTGGGGTATGGAGTGAAACGTGGATGGGAAGGAAAATGGAATGGAGTACCTGGAAAAGGAAGAGCAAGGAAGAAGCATGGAGATAAAACAATGGTAGAGAGAACCTCTCCTGGTCTAAATAGGCTGTTTCTTGGCTTGCTCCAAAGAACTATACTTAAATGTCCCAAGGGACAGAAGTAAAAGCTTCCCACAGAAATCAATGGAGATACCCAAGATTTCAATATAGATGGAATTTTGTACCAGTGTGTTCACCCTCAAATGGAGTGAACCCCCAACAAAAGCCCAGTGGGGCAGAGCATGCTGCATGGGTATGAAATGCTGACTGATTGTTGGGAGGAGCAAATGGGAGAGGGGAGTTAAATGGAATGGCAGGAACTTTGAACAGAAGCACTTCGTGCTGCAACTGACTGCCCTGCTTGTTTAGTCTGATCACAACATCGTATCTATTTTGACTGCCCTCTCAGATCGGAACTACATTGCTTCATTTGCAAGCGTTCATTGTCAACCTTCACATCTTCAGATATTACCCTAAACTCATGAGCTCTTGAGACTCTCTAGTCCCCTGCCCGGAACTTGAACATAGGCATGCATTGGAAAGAAAAACATCTAGGTCAGAATTTGGTCCCTGGGCTTCGCAGCTAGAAAACAATCTTTCTTGATTTCAGTGAAAATTAAATTGTGGCTTTCCTTGCTCTAGAAGCAATTAAATAAAGAACATGGCAAAAACCTAGCATGAACCTAGTCCACAACAAGAAAAGGGCAGGGAAAGGCTTTGGAATAGCGCCACCAACAGTCAGAAGCATTCCGGAAGGCCACCCGGACTTTCATCAGCCTTTCAACAGAGTGGTGAGGTTTCCCATGTTGCAACCTGCAATCTGGGAAGGACTGGCACCTGGCTGAGCTTTAATAAGGCAGCCACTTCAGAGCTGATAGACTGACAGATCAGAATACAAGAGCAAGGTTCTAGTCCCTGGGCATGGGAAACAGAGTGCAGACACTTCTTGCCTAGAGATGGTCCTTACCACAGGAAGAGACTGCTTCAGCTCCTTCCGAAGGATCCAGTCATTAAGCAGCACCAGCAAATTGGAGGCAGAATAGACTGAGGAAAGGCATAAAGGAGAAAAGGAATACAGGTCACAGATTTGTTACAGTGTCTCTTTCAACAATTAAGCTGCCTTAAGAACAGTCATCGCTGCCATCTCTCTGCATATCTTCCCAATTATGTGCAGCTGATGGAGACATATTGCAAGACAACTGTCTTGGCCCTCTTCCATAATCCAGTGCAAAGGAACAAAAGCACAGCCAAGTTCTGTCTTGTCCCCTGCAGGATGAACCAATCAGCACTTGCAACTTTATAATCCTGAGCATTATTTCAAAATGGCTGTATGCTTGCTTATATCCTTAGGAATACCTTTGTCTTGAACCATACCGCTTGCTCATATCAAACATTCTGGCTCTCTAAAGAAGGGTGAAGGCTGAAAAAAAGAATTCACAGAAGCAAAACAGATCCTGAATGGGTAGATGTTGTTTTTTTCAAAGGTACAAAAGACTGAAATTTATGGGGCCCAAGCACCATCTTCATGGGATGATCCCAGTCATTCCCTGGCAGATACTCGGGGTATCTATTTTGTAATGCCTATAGAATGTACCATGGGAATAAAGTACTTGAATTGATTTCAGAAATAACTATCTCACGAAATTCAATATTAAAAAGCTTGGAGTATAATACAAACATGGTCATGTTTAGTAACGAACTCCAACATTTGTCAACATAGTCAGTCATATCAGTTTCAAACCTAATGCACTGACTAGTCCAGAACACAGAGACATAGATCTTTGCAACAGGCAAGAAAGAATTGCCTTGTTTAATTCATGATATGCAAGCTGCTTGGAGAGCCTTTTTTTGGCTGAGGAGCAACATAAAAGTACATCAAATGTATAAATAAATAAGAACTCCTCTTTTGGGAAGGAAAGGCTTACATTCCCAAGAAATCTTAGATGAACAGATTGCAAAAACAAACAAACAGACATGGCAGAAATAATAGGAGGCTGTCTCAATCCATCACCAGTTGCAGCTTGGAATCAGAACTTGCATAAGTAGAAATCCACTCATATAATGAAGCCTCCTGTATGTGCCTAAGGTCAACCAAACCACTGGAGTAGATGTGGGGGGCAAACAGGTGGATGAAGGAGGAAAAGGGAAACCAGCTGTGCCTGTGGTTCCCTTCTACTGGCGAATGGCAGAACTGTATGCAACCTCAAGTCTGCATTCACACAAAGGCAGACAGTACTGAGTATTCCTGTAGCAATCAGGCATTTGTGTAGGTGTACAAAATCCTCACAACTGCAATCTAATTAGTCAACAATATTTCACAGTTCTCTTTTGCCAGGCATTCCAGGTAAGAATAACGACTGAAGTCACACACTTATGTCGTGTCTTAAACAGAAATGATCCTTCAAGCCACAGGTGTAGACCCTTTGCTCCTCCCTTCGTGACAGCCAGTGAACAAACCAAGAAACTTTTGGTTTATGGAAGTTTTCTCTAGGAAAACTTTAACTAGGAAACAATGGTTTAGGAACAGACAGAATTCAGAGCAATTGGCATTGGCTTAGTATCTTGGCTTTTTTGAAAGCTGTGAACCATAATTTCCCCGTATGATGCGAGAAATTTCAGTTAATGGAAGAGTTCCTGGTCTGTTTGGTCCTGCTGCAAAGAGAGAGGGAAAGGGCCTGTGCCCACAGGGCTGGTTCATTTCTCAGTTTACTGTTCTAAATGTGATCACTGAGTCAACCTAGCAGGCAAGAGTAAGATTAGAACTAGTCCTGCTCTGGGATTGTTGACATAAATATATCCTTTATTATCCCCAAAAAACCTGGTCAATTCAATGAGATTCATGGGTAAGAAAGGACTAGAAACGGAGCTTCTATATTCCAAGCCGAACATTAAATGCATCTCTCAACAATCCCGCTAGCAACCACTGAATGATCCTGGTCATGCACTATGTGAGTCTTCACCAATGAGTATTCTCCAGATGTGCTGAATTACAGCCACTGTTGTCTCCAGACAACAAAGGTCACTAGCCATGCTAGTTGGAGATGATATAAGTTATAGTCCAACATATCTAGAGGGTACCAGATTGTGGAAAGCTGCACTACGTTTCCAACTGTTCTTTTTCAAGAGAATCCTCTTAAGCCACCCTCTCCTTCAAAGCCCAACTCTGAGAGGCAGGGGCACAACAATTGTTCAGCACTACTTACCAAGCTCAGACAGCTCATGAGAGTCAGAGAACCGACCTAGAACAGTAAGCATAGGTGAAACATAAACCACTGTTACCTGCTTTTCTTAAAACAATCCAATCAGGGATTATCATAGGAACAGGCTTTGAAATTCTTGTTTGCCTCTTAAGCAAAAACACCAGCACGTTGCCCAACCAACCTAAGGTTAGCATTTCCCACAGAGCCCAACCTCTACCTTAAGTTCAATATCCTCTTGTGTAGGACAGTGCACCGCTGCAGATTCATGAACTTACGAAGCACTTACTATAAGTTAACAATGAATGAGGATTCTTCAATTTGGATCTTTTTGACATAGCATTTCAGGAATCTAACTTTGATAGATGAGAATCTATGGCTTCAACAATATAGTCAGAACTACTTTATAAACTTTTTTCAGATTAAAAATGGACAAATATGCTTTTATTTCAGTGCTTTCTTGATCCTGCTACACTAAACATAAGAGGTCAGGATATTGGAACAACCGCCACCTTCCAAATAGACTTGCCCATATTTAAGATTTTCTTCAGAGGCCCTGTTATATATCCTGCCACTGAGAGGTTACATGGATGGGAACATAGGACAGGATCCTTTCTGTGGCAGCATCATGCTTGTGTAACTCCCTCCTTAAAGAGGCTAAATGGTCATCATCTTTGCCTAGCTAAATGTTTTTGTTTAGGCTGCACATTAATGGACTTTAAAAAAAATTTACTCTACTTTCTTAACATTTTAAATATGCTTTGTCCTTTTTAAAAATGTTATTGTGAGTGGGATTATTTTAAAATTTCCATATCACCTTGAGGGACTTTTAAATAGATACAGAAAAAATGGCTGAAAAATTTGGAGGAAGCCTAATTAGGAAGAGAGCTTGAAAACTGATTCTTATGTATGCGAGGTGGGGAAGAGATGTTTAATATATGGAACCAAGCAGAAAAATATATACAATTGCATCCTAATTATGCCACACTATCTTGTGACCATCATTCCAGCAGTCAGGCAGGCCTATGCCAGTATGGAGAAGGTTGATCAATAGACTTTCTCTACTTGACCTTTTAAAAAGCTTTAGTAAGTTCCTTAGCTTGGCAAATTTAGCAAGATGGAACAAGAGGGAAGATTCTTTTATGGATCAAAGAGCAGGAAGTATATAAGAAGGAAAACTCAATGGAACAAAAGTATGCAGGATCCATGAGACCAACTTTGGCTGATTTGTACATTTGAAGTCAGTAGGGAAATAGTCAAGTTTGTAGGTGATACATAATTATCCCAAATGACTAAGAATAAACTCCAAAACAATTTCACAATACCAAATAACAAATAGTAAGGAAAATTCAGTTCAAAGTTGGTGATGAACATGGGGACAAAAAAACCCAGTCTTGCATGCACACTGATATAGTCTGAACAGTTTGTGACTATCCAGGAAAAAATTGGGTTGCATTGAAATATGTACACCAGAAACAAGTAAAATCTTGTATGTGGGAATCTTAGGGGAAAATAGAAAAATAACACAGTAAGTATAATAATGCCTTTTATTAATGGTGTACAGTTCCAGTTATCCAACTTCATGAAGACCACCAGAGAGCTGGAATAAGTACAGAAAACAGTGATCAAAAGGATAAAAGTGATGGAATATCTTTGAGAATACACCAATGGATTTGAAGTTTTTAGTTTAGAAAGAAAAAAGGGAACAAGACTGAATACTGCTGCTGCACTTTTCCTTACTCCATTGCAGTCTTGGGACCTACTGTTAATATAATGGAGAGTTAATGTTTCCCAAACCAACACTGGAAACATTCCTTTCTGCATCAAGGCAGTTTGGTGATCATTTCTAATTTTTTAAGAACTACTAATGAAGGGCCCCACTGGGATTTGAACAACATAGGATACTACCCAAGAAAAAATATTTGGGTGGTGGTGGAGGATATGACAGTGTTTTATAAAATGATGAAATGTATAGAAAAATGGATATATTTTTCTCTTTAGCTCATACCACTAGAACTCTGTATACCTCTGAATATCAGATGTTGGGAAAAAACAACAGGAAAATTGTTGACTTTAAAAACTTTAGCGTGAAGGGTTTGCCAGAGGCTGGCCACCACTGGTAGCAGTACACTGGACTAGACCTTGATCAGGGCTCTAGTTTTGACAGCAATTCAAGGCTACAACCAAAGCAATCAGGACAGAGTGAGAGCTCAGAGTTAATCTGCAGCAACAAATGTAATCAGAGCACTTTCCAAATGGAGTATTATCAAACTAGTGATTAAAATCTGCATGGCATTCCAACTTGATTTTGATGCTGCAGACATTTAACACATATTAAGCAACACCCAGAGAAAATGGGGGAAGGAATGAAGAGCTTCCCAAATCACGGGAAACAAACACCCCACAAATAAGTCACAATAACAAACTGCAGAGGAAAGAGATACAAGTACTCTCCCCAAAACCTAAATCCATGCCCAAAGGATTAGGATAGCCTTCCCCAACACAGTCCTCTTCATGGCTGTACAGACTAGGAGATGATGGAAGGGGCAGTCCAACATATTTGGCTGACCCCAGCTTGGAGAAGGTAGGAGAAATAAAACAACAGCCATTTTTCTGTCATTTAGAGTTGCCACTTTCCGTCCTGGCAGAGCTTCCATACATGTAATTGCTACATGTAAGGAACACACAGAAATTCAGCAGTTGACACTTTCTCTTCACACCGTACCTCCATGCTGAGGGAGGCTTCACCTGTCGGACCTCTACCTGCCACGTAGCTGCTAGATGTACTGCACTCCTGCCAGGAGACGGGGTAGCATACCATAAACACGCTTAGTAAGCTTGTCCCAAGCCTATTGGTGCGACGGAGAAGGATGGCTCAGACACTTGCCCGCATCTTCCCTCTCCCGGTTCAGCCTGCCCCGTCATACCTGGCAGCAGGTAGGAGAGACCGCGCACGGTACTCTCCAGCTGGGCAGTGGCCGCCGGATGCCGCTTCACGTAATCCTGATAACAGTCGCACAGGTGCCGCAGCCTCCCTATCGGTCCAGCCATGGCTGCCCAGGAAGAGAGAGCGGCTCCCCCGCCCCTCCGAGTACGCCCGGCCGCGCACGCGCACTTCCTAGTAGCCGTTGCTCATCACCCCTCGTCTCCTCTCACCTCTGCGCCTGCGCAACACTGATCCGGAGCCAGAGCGAGTCGACTGTCGAGAGCAAGAACGAGCCAGGGAGAATGAACAGAGCGCGGAGCCACTCGGACCAACTGGGAGGAGACGCTGGGAAATTTAAAGGGTTGAGGGGGGAAGGAGGAGAGAAGAGCGTGAGAGCGGTGTGCGCTTCGGCTGAGCGTGAGTATTGCGTGGGACAGAAGAGGCCGCTCCTCGCTTTTTCAGGGATGGCTGCTGAGGCAAAGCCTGTTACTCAGCGAGACCCGGCCGAACCGGCAGTCCGGGCTGGGGCTGCTACTGCTACTCATTGCCAGCGGTGGCTACCTCGGGCTCGTAACAGGTGCCTCGCCGGCGAGACGGGCTGGGGAAAGCTCGCGGCGCGAAAAAGTCTGGACCGGAGGGCTGCCGCTGCTGCGAAAGCGCTGGGATGCGCCAGCGCTGCCTCTCGTCCCGCTTGCCCACTGTAGCAGCATCGGGTAGGCACCAGCCCACTCGCCTAAGTGAGGTGGCATTTGGGTTGTGTGGTGAAAGTGAGAGGCAGGCTGGAAGGAGACCACCAAGTTCCCTCTTAATATCACCTCGCGCGGACGAAGGCAGACTCTTGGTCCAAAAGGTAAAAAAAGAGCAAGGTGCCTTGCGTTATTTTAATACGCAGCGCCTGGCACGCCGTTTGGTGGCGCCATGTGTTAAAACCCGTGGTAAGAATAGCTCTAGCTGGAGTAGGAGTTCTATTGCTGGCGATAATAATAGTTCCCATAACCGTAGCTCTTCTAAGTGCTACGTCAGAAGTGGTCTTTCTCTTCTCTGAGGAAGGAAATGACATCCATTGATTTATTTCCAGGGAGGCAGCTGTGTTAAATCTGTTGCAGCGAAAACTGCAGAGTTTTATAGTGTTTTAACGGTTAGCAAATTTATTTTGAAATATGTTTTCGTGGGCACTGGCCACTTTATCAAATTTTATTTATTTATGTATGTAGATATGCAGGACTATGATCTTAAACATGCACCCTTCAAAGTAAATTCCACTGAAATCACTTCCAAGAATTGTGTGCGGCTTTCTCTCTTTTGATTAATTTCCAGTAAATAATGTATAAAGGTTCCAACTTGTAAATCCTGCCATGCAATCCTTCACTTTTGGGGTGAAGTAAGGTCTGTGGCTGCACAGTGATGAGTGGAAAATCATTTTAGCATATTCTCAGAGAAGCTCATTTTCATGTTTTACAGCTTGCAGATGTAGCAGGTAGATAGCACCATGACTGTGTATCAGTGACACTTGTCTAGTGACCAATCCAGCTGACCAGTGTTTTTTACCTGTGAGAAATGAACCTTGCCAAATTAAGCTCAAGGGAGAGAAAAGACAAAGTCCTCAGTGGATAAGTATGCAGGAACAGTACCCGTAAGAGCACGATCCTTTGCATATTTAAGATTGTGTCCTGCAAATCCTAGATGGCTGGGGAAAGCTAAGAGTTGCAGGAATTTTCTCTGTCTAAAAATGTATGGGCTTGCTCCCTTAAAACACTTCTGAATCTACTAGAAAAGTAGTAGGCAGAAGGTAAATCTCCAGAAGTTTTTGACTTCATTTCCCACAAACCCCTGTCAGCATGACCAATGGCAGATCCAAACATGTTGGAGTAATTCACTGATGCACAAGTATTCAATAAAAAGTATGGTCTGCATCCATGTTTTCTGCTTTGTGAATAAAGCATGTCTAGCTAATTTTCTCTCCTCCATCTATATGAAGCAGCAGTGAGATGATCAGAGTAAATTTTTTAGACTAGAACTCCAGTTGTATAGTCAAGGCTATGGTTTTCCCAGTTGCAATGTATGGCTGTGAAAGCTGGACCATAAGGAAGGCTGAGTGCCGAAGAATGGAGGCCTTTGAATTGTGGTGCTGGCAGAGACTCCTGCAAGTCCCTTGGACCGCAAGGAGATCAAACCAGTCAGTCCTAGAGGAGATCAACCCTGACTGCTCTTTAGAAGGCCAGATCCTGAAGATGAAACTCAAATACTTTGGCCACCTAATGAGAAGGAAGGACTCCCTGGAGAAGAGCCTAATGCTGGGCACAATAGATGGCAAAAGAAGAAGGGGACGGCAGAGGATGAGGTGGCTAGATGGAGTCACTAAAGCAGTCAGCATGAGCTTAAGTGGACTCCGGGAGATGGTGGAGGAGAGGAAGGCCTGGAGGAGTGTTGTCCATGGGGTCGCGATGGGTCGGACACCACTTTGCAACTAACAACAGCAGAACCCAGCATGAACTGCCTACTTGGTTCCTTGAAGACTCACTGTGTCTGATAAAGTTCTTCTGGTGCCTGTGTCAGGTCTTCCCCACTTTGTTTGGGCTCTTATACTGTATAAACCCTGGTGTAGTCTCCTCCACATGTTTTTTGTCTAAACATGCATAGATTGCACCTTAGTAGCTTATTGTAAAGTTAGATAGACTTCTCTGAACATTTATTGATATATTTACTATATTTAATGCACTCAATAACCAATATTCTCTGGACAGATTATAGATGGTTAAAAGAATAAAATACAGTCCAAATAATATTAGATATCACTGGGTTGCAATCCAGAGTGCACACTCATTTATTACATTTTATCCTAATCTTTCAACATGTTCAGAATAGGGTATATGGTTTGTCCTTTCATTCCTCAGTGAACTGATGACTTAGGGTAGACTTGGGAGATGGTGTCCCCAGGTCACTCAGGGCACGGTTCAATGCCCTTCACCGCAGATGCACATAAGCCTCCAAACTCAGAGGCTTAGGTGCATCCAGTGAATGGAGTGAGGCATAACAGCTATATCTGTAATTGCTACATCTTGTGGCATATATTTCATCCAGACAGAGAGCCTTTTCCCCTGTTGTGTCCTCAAAGTGGCAGCCAGCATGATTTTTGTGTCAGCTTATGAGTGGGGTGGGTGGGATGGAGACTTAGCCTCTGGAGCGCCAGCTCTAAGGTTGCAGGGCTTCGGCAACCTGCCTCTGAATAATCCTATGCCCCGCCCCTCCCTGTCAATGTCAGGAGGCCACAGGGTTGCGCTTCAGTGACTTCCCTGGTTTTTTGGTCACACTATAACACTAATCACTAGCTATATGAAGCTGACACATACTTCTGGATACTGTGGATAAGTTCAAGCTGTATCTCATTCATTACAGCATAATCTTCTTGGGCAAAAGCCCACTTCATGCATCCAGAAAGCTATTTTTAATCTTTTGATTGATCAAATTTTTGAAAGCTATTTTCAACTCTGTGATCCATTTCCAGTTAAAATTGACTAAAATAACAGCATCAGATTAGAATTCCTCCATCCCAGTGTAATCTTTAAAAAATTGTCAGGCCATCAAAGAATATCAGGAGTTGCTTTCACATGCATTTCATAGGATTGTGATGGACATATATTCTGCCGCCTGCCCACTGTGCCTGTTCTTTTAAAAAAAATGTAATAAACTATTTCAAAAGATACAAATACAAAATTAAACTAGAAAAAACAACACAAGATACAAAAACCAGAGTGTGTGTGTAAAACAATTAGTGCCCCCCTCCACTGGGACCATGGCTGTGGAATCCTTTTTTCCTTAATTTCTTTCTTCCTCTTTGCTTCTAGCTCTAACTTTCTGCTCCTTCAGGAATACCCCCTTCCATACAAAATTGCATTGTGTCAGCCAAAGGTTTAATACCCTTCCCTTTTTTAGTACATATTCAGTAAACAAACCCCATAGATCCTTTTTTTCACCCTAATCCCACATATCAACTTATCATTAACACCTATGTTCCAAACTTCTTTATACCATTCAATTAACTGATGATTCTTTCTATGCCTGTTCTATTAGCCAAAAAACCCCCAAAACGTCAGAACAGCTTTGTACTTTACTGCTGCTGGTATTCCACCAATACTGAATGTATTTCTAGAAAATTGGGGAGCAATCCCTCAAAAACAGATAGTAGCAAAGGTAGCTGAGTAGGCTCCAGATGATATAATGAAGTCTGATTTGTTCCAGTAGCCCATTTATCAGGATGTTTATATCCTACAATTACATACAACCCATTCAGGTTGCAATACAGTAAGGCAGGGGTCCTCAAACTCAAACCTCAAAGGCGGGCGCACACGGCGAGGTGAGGTGTGGGCGGGCACGTGCGACGAGGTGGGTGTGTGCCGCGAGGTGGGCGCACGAGGCAGCAGCTTGCTCACTTGGAGATTGTTTTCTCCAAGTGAGCAACCCACTGCCTCCCAGCGTGTGGGGCAAGGTGGGCGGCGGCAGGCATGGGCACAGTGTGTCCAAATGGGCATGGCGGGCTGGATCTGGCCCCCGGGCTATAGTTTGAGGACCCATGCAGTAAGGGCTCCAGAGTGCTTTTAAAAGACCCATTCTGAATACATTTCAGTCTCATCACATCTTGTGCTATTTTAGGTGCCTGGTTAGATTCTTCTCACAGTTTTAAAAAACAGCCTTCTTTGATCTGTTGGGTAAAGCTGTCATCTATTTTTGAAAAACAGTACCTTAGCTGATTAATCAAATGTATGATAATCAAGTAAAGATTTGTTTAATTAAGAGAATAATCAAATCTTTATACATCTGTGGAATATTACTAAACAGTGCTTTTGAAGAAAAAAGCATATTTAGCTTCAGATAGCATGAGGGTTTATCAGAGGAGGTACTGTCTTAGAAGAGGCATGCCTTCTGTGTGGATGTACAGGGCAACTTCCTTTTCTAAGATGGCACCTGTCATCTTCAGTTTTTGTAGAAGAGGGATGGGAATGCTTCTTTAGTTAAGGTGAGCTGCAAAAATAGAAGCTACCACCATAAGCCTTACACTTCTATTGCTTATGAAAACAGCACTTCTTAAGCTAATTGAAACCTAGCATCCGTGACCCACATGATAAGGTCTACAAAGTTCAAATTGATTGAATTAAAAAAATACATCTTTGCCTGGTATCAGAGAGATGACCACATTCACAGCAGATGTGTTTTCTTGGACAGAACATTCCATGAACATGGGACTATTGGGGAAGAGATGTATTTCCATAGGAGCTTTTCTTGGGGGGGGGGGGGGATATATAGACAAAGGCCTCTGAAGCTGACCACAGGGAGTTGATCCATGCCAGCACGTTGCTTACATAAATAGCTGGGTGAATGGGTTAAACTGTGAAGCTAAATGCTTCATAAGGCAATATGGT